ATATATGTGACTGTACGAAAATGAAAATGGAAAATAAAAACACATTTAAAACGAAAAAAGAAAAAGAAAAAAAACCCACAAAGATGAGCCAGCCGTGCGCAGCAGCAGCCAAAAATGCAAATACGATCCTGGGTTGTTTAAAGAGCGGCATAGAATTGAAATCAGGTGAAGTATTCTCAAAGGTCCCTTTGTTTTTGTTAAGTTGCAACTGTTTTTGTCTTCCAAGACATTTTGCTTCTCACCCAAGAAGCTTCTTCAACTCTGACTGAATGGGAAGGAAGGAAGGATTGATGCTCCTTGCAGACAGCTGGTCATTTGCTTCCATTTAGAGGGTCCTTGAGGCCCCTTGGAGGTTTCTCTGTCTCTTTAAGGTCACCTGAGTGGTGCAAATGGTTCCTGCATTCTGCAATTTTTCCCTCTGGAAATCCATTCCTTCTCCCACCACCATCCCAAGGGTCTTCATCCCAAATTGTGTAGCTAAAGGTCTGTAGAGATTCTCCTTTATCCAGGTCCTGGTTGTCCCAAAGGTGTTTTTTTTTATCCAGGAGGCGACTGGAGTTTCTTGGTTTTTCTTTGAAGACGTTTCCCTTCTCATCCAAGAAGCTTCTTCAGCTCTGACCGGATGGAGGGGAATGGAGGGATTTATATGCCTTGGAGACAGCTGGTCATTTGCATTCTTTTAGAGGGTCGTTGAGGCCACTTGGAGATTCCTCTTTGTCCTCAGGGTCACCTGAGTGGTGCAAATAAGTGTGGAGCCTTCTTGGAACTGCTTGAAAGGACTGTTGTAGAAGGTTCCACCCCCCTTTCCACCACTCAGGTGACCCTGAGGACAGAGATAAACCTCCAAGTGGCCTCAACGACCCTCTAAAAGGATGCAAATGACCAGATATCAGCAAGGAGTATAATACTTTACCTGTCTATGGAGATTCTCCATCCTCCAAGTCCTGGTTGTCCCAAAGGTGCTTTTTCAAGAGCTAATTGGACTTTCCGTTTTTTCTTCAAAGACATTTTGCTTCTTGTCCAAGAAGCTTCTTCGGCTCTGACTGGATGGTGGGGAAATGGAAGGATTTATACTCCGTGCAGACAGCTGGTCATTTGCGTCCTTTTTAGAGAGCTGTTGAGGAGACTTGGAGATTTATCTGTTGTTGAGGCCACTTGGAGTAGTGCAAATGAGTGTGGAGCCTTCTTGGAACTGACTGTTGTAGAAGGCCCCACACCCATTTGCAACACTCAGGTGACCCTGAGGACACAGAGAAACCTCCAAGTGGCCTCAACGACCCTCTAAAAGGATGCAAATGACCAGCTGTCTGCAAGGAGGATCAAATCCTTCTCTTCCCCACCATCCAGTCAGAGCTGAAGAAGCTTCTTGGATGAGAAGGGAAACACCTTTAAAGAAAAACCAAGAAACTCCAGTTGCCTCCTGGACTTTGGGGCAACCATGACCTGGATGAAGGAGAATCTCTTCAGTCTTTTAGCTACGCAATTTGGGATGAAGACC